TAGAATTATCTAAAGAAAGGAAATTTGCTAATATTGTACTCGAGTATAATACTATTTAACTCTGTTTTGCATTTTACTTGTGGTTAATTTTATAATTGTATTATGTGGGGGTACATGCTCATTTATAATTTATATATAATCAACTATAACATGTATGCTAATTAGGAAGTAAATCTTTATAAAATATAGGTAACATGTTAAAACATGTTTCAGTAGGAATTCACAATAGTTCCTAGTATTTTTAAGTAATTATCGGTTTTTTTGTATTTGTGACGAAATGTCAAAAAAAGTATTGGTTTTTACAAAGGATTTAAAACTTGACATTTTATGTTTTTAAAAGCGTTTTTAATACTGTTTTTAGTTAATTTTGGATGATTTTAGTTTGTGACGAAGTGTCACAAAAATTATTGAAAAAAATGTTTTTTGCTAAAATCAAGTGTTTTTTGACACTTCGTCTAAATTTTTTTCCTAATTTTCTGCCACAAAACATAAAATTCAAAAAAACGTAAAAATTGACGTAAATTCCGCTTTCGTACCGTATTAGTACAACATACGTTTTGCGGCATGAAATTGAATTGAAAGGTTGAAATTTTGTTTCATACCAAACTTTTTAATCCCCTGAGGGAATTTCCGGTTCTTTGACATGATGATTACTGTCTTCGTAATGTTTCGCGATATTGTCTATGACAGAAGTGGAAGTGGGGTTATATTTAGAAAGGTATAATGTCAGGAGGTAGTATGGGCTAGATTTTTACAAGAACCGGACCCATTTTTTGTCCAGGTTTAATCTCTTTTAAATTTTCCTTTGGCCGGCCTTCCCCTTATCGAAATTTATTAAAATTTTACACTTTTTTAAGTCAAATCTTTCCTTGCAGGACTTAAGCTGGGCTTTTCAAACCTTGTTTTAGGTCCCGCTTTCAACTAGTACGATCCTGCCCGGCTCTTTTTAAAGTTTTTTAGCTTGGCTTGGGATAAAGACAAGAGGACTAGGCTAAAACTGATTTGAAAGGGACCAGGCGGAAAAATGTGGGCCTTGCTATTAAAAAAAGGTTTTGTGCCATTTTCAACGCAACTTTCTCAAAAAATTTTTTTTAAATTTTCAACATTTAGTAGCTATCTTTTATTGTCTAAAAGAAGTTAAAAACGTTTTTTTCATAACAAAACTCTTCTCTTTTTGTCATTTTTTGTTGTCAGACCAAAGAGATTCAGGTGTCTGGAGCTTTGTTTTCCAATTGACATTTCCAACTTCAATAGATGTTGTTGTCCTACAACTTAATCGTTTTTTAAAGACAAAACTTTGGCATTTTTATAGAAAAAAAGGGCATCACACTGAGTTGTATTTTGTGGCCGGAGGCGTTTTTATCATTGAATTTGTACAATAATTCGTGATTTTTCGGAAGTTTTTATATTTTGCCATTTTAAAAATTGGGAATGAGGATTTTCGTTATATATGTCATTTTGCATAAAAACAATTTTAAAAGTTTTGGCATAAAATTTAAAAAAATTGTAAATTTTTTGAATTTTCAAATTTTTTTTTAAATTTTAAAATTTTGTTAAAGTTTTTTAATAGTAGCTTATGTTATGGTAATTATTTGTGCAAAGTTTCACATTTTTGTCTTGCTCCATTTTAGAAAAACGGCTTGCTAAATATTCAAATTTTAGTTTTCACGCCAAATTTGGCATTTGGTTTTACCATCAAAATTTGATGAAAAAACCTTGTAAAATACGAATGTTATTTTAATTTTGTTTCAAAAGTAAATTTTTAACACTTTCACATTACAATGCCATCATCCCATCCCACACAATACTCTCTACTACAATATGACCCATAAACAATTTAGTACAAGGCATATTTCAAAATTACTCGTTTTCCATTGAAATTCTCTCAGACACGGTTAAGTATGTAAATTAAACGTACTTACGAGACAATAACCTACTTACAACTATCGTATTTACAAGCACTCAATCACCTGCCATTTCACAGTGCATTTCTGTCATTTTATAACGATACAATGTTAAAATTGCTTACATACAATGGGAAACTTGCATTGTATTTCCAATTTTTACAATTTGAAAATGTATACATTTATGTCTTTACTATTCTTTACTATAAGTTTTTACTCTGTAAACGGGGTTTTTCGTAATTAACATATTTTCAAATGGCCAAAAAGGGGCGGAGCCTAAATTTTAAAACTGGAAAGAAAACTTTGAAATTTTGGAATTTCTTTTTAATTTTACAATCTGCTAAGACATTGTTAGCATAAAGTGTTGTAGGAGCGTATTTTGGGTTTTGTGGTGTAAAGAAAGTTTTTGCAAATTAATTTTTTAGGTATGTGTGGGAGGGGGGAGGGGGAGATAAGGAAGGGTAGGGTTGGGTAGGATCGGGTAGAATAGGATAGAACAGGGTAGAGTAGGGTCATTGTAAAACCTTATATGGACCTCTTTCGATCAGGCCTGTATTCCCAATACAGTATCCCAAAACTTTTCTTTGTCGGGGTAGATCTTGGTTTATATGGAATTTGTAAATTATGACAGTTTTCAGAAAACTTTTTAAATTTAAAACCTATGTAAACGATACTGAACATGTTGTTTTTGAGTTTAAAACGTGAAAACATGTTTTGTGTTGGTCAGTTCTTTTTAAAAACACGTCAGTTTTTAAATTGGATTATGCTTTTAAACAGTAGGATGCACGTATATCTAATAATATCACAGTAGAGTTTGAAGTTTGAATTTATGCTTAACTCTTTTTTATTTTTACCTTACTATAGGCTAAAAATAGTTACACAGGAGTTTTACTGTATTATATAAGAAAATTCTGCCACAAGCAAGTTTAAGCCTAGTATAACGTAAGATACAGTATCTACGCCACTTTATACACGCCATCCTCAAACTTTTTAAAATTTTTGTAAAGTCATTTACTGTACCATACAATACAATATACTATAACATATCATGCGGTAAAATGCGGGCTTTAGTAGCTACATGAGTGTGCAAAAACAGCAAAAAAGTGTAGTTTTGAAATTGTCACGCTACAAAGTAATGAGACTAGTTTAATACTGTAAACCATTGAATGTCATGTCAATTCCTTTTTTATTTTTTTAAAATAGCAAACATATGTAGAATGGCAAGCACATTGTTGGATACTTTCATGTAATTATTTAGCTGTTTTACTAGTTTACTTTTGGTTTGCTCTACTTTAACCCACCCTTACCTTTCAGCCATAATTCAGTCTATAGCTATTTACATTATGAACCCAACAAGTACGTTAGATGTCGCAATTTTAAACCGAAACGCCTCCAAAAACAAGTCAAACTTTTAAATATTTTATGAATTGTCGGGAAAATGTGACAGACTCGATTTGGTGACGTTTCGGCCGTTACGCAGTTTGTAACTTTCTATACATGTACATTAACATGTAAACATATGTCAAGGTGAAGTTCAGTGTTGGTCTTGAGTTGTAGCTAATAAGGTATGTATTGTTAATGTTTGGGTGAGAAGTATATCTTGTGGTATGATCTTGTAGTATAGAAGCCACATTTTACTTTTATACGTAACCTATGTATAAAAATAGGTATCAATGACATCATATGAATCTTAGTACCAATAAGATTAGAAAACACAGTAATCTTATTGGTTTAGATGATGAATATAGTCTGCGTGATGTCTTATTAATATAGTTGAGCTAAATCTTATTCTAATTGAAAATTAACATACTTGGCTGTTAGGATGACTAAATGATAAGGTATTAGTCTATGTTAATATACGTGTTCATTTACTGCCTTGCCTTGCCTTGCCTTGCCTTGCCTTGCCTTGCCTTGCCTTGCCTTGCCTTGCCTTGCCTTGCCTTGCCTTGCCTTGCCTTGCCTTGCCTTGCCTTGCCTTGCCTTGCCTTGCCTTGTCTTGCCTTGCCTTGCCTTGCCTTTCTCTTTTAATCTAACTTGATTACCCTGCCTCACGCTGAAAAAAAATAAAAAAAAGAACCCCCCCCTCCTCTTCCCCCACCTTCTTCCCTCTCCTCTCCCTCTCCCCCTCCTTCCCTTCACCAGTTCCGAAATGGCTTTGCTCTACTCTAATTAAAAATTACCTTTCTTCACTCTATTAGCATTAACTATATGAATAATATGTACTACTAATGTCTTAAGATACCTTGAGTACGTATCACTACAAAGCTTGGTACATAATCATTGCACCGATTACAAAGTCAAATATTTTACTCTTTGAAACAATGTAAATCTCAATAAAACAATGTCAATACCTTTGGAACAATGTAAATTTGGTGTCTTATAGACGTGACATTCTGTGGCAATCTTGAGTATGAGGCTCAAGAGTCTATTAAAGATTAATCCTTATGTATCATAATAAGTATATATAGTCATGAATATGATGAGTTGGTATGTGTAATGAGTGCATTTTGGAGATTACTTTGGTACGTGTTTTAGTAAGGTATGATAAGGTATGGTAAAAGTTGTTGCTTTTAACTAGGTATGAAGACTGTATGACATTTTTTATTAGAAATGAGTATTTTATTACATTTGTAATTTTAACTATACATATAGTTAACCTTGAGTCCCTCTAACTATGTCATCATATTCAAATACAAACACTGCGTCATCACACCCTCTACATCGTATATCGTATTACATAATTGTCCTAATCTCCTACATCTACTTCTTTATGCGTATAAAAGATGTAGATGCAGAAGAACGCGCTCAGTACGGGCGGCATACGATGACCCGGATTGTATTATAGTAGAGTATGAATTTTAATTTTTGAACATTTTTTAGAATTTTTTATTAAAATTGAGGATTTTGTGACATTTTTAATTTGAGTCGATGATTTCATGCCATTTTTTATTAGATATCAACATTTTTTGTCATTTTTTATCTTTTATTCGTGTTATTATCTGTAATCAATTTAAAATCCGTATTTTACATTAACCTTCTTCAGGGAAGAAAACAAAAACAATGTTGCGATTGATAGTAGGTGTGACGACGTTATTCATGGTGATGGGCCAACTCAAAGCAGCTCCAAAAACTCCAGAACCGGTGCGAGTAATGGAAGTGAATATGGAAAGGGACGGTGATGACTTGAGGCCCGAATTCTTGGTAAGATTTTAGGTTTTTTTAAATTTTGAAAATTACTGACCCTTGCCTAGGTAAGCCTTAGTTTTAGTCCTACAGCTAAAATTGTTTTTAATATTAAAGTAACAAATATTATTTTTTAACGTTTTGAGCACTAGAAAGTAAAGATTCAGTAAAAAACATGAAAAACTTGATCTTTTTGGAAAAAAAACCTACTACAATTTGGAGCCTCATATCTTTATAACTAAACTTTTTTTAAAAACAGTTCTAAGCAGTTAAAAACAAATTTTCTAAGCTTTAATATTATGTAAACACTATGCATATTCTGTATTTGATTGTCTCTATACATTTGATTAAACTAGCTATATTCTAACTCAGGATAATATAGAGATAGGTGACTTTGACAGGCTGTAACTTTTTCGAAAATTTTTTTAAAAGTTTTTGTTTATTTGAGTTAAAACCACATACAAGTACCTCAGATTTGATATAAATTTTAGTTTGCTCGTACTGGTACTTTTTTTGTTATGCCGTTTTTCTTTACTCCAACTTCAATTTTTCGAAAAAATTTCAAAAAATTTAAATTTTTTGTAAAATACGAGATTTACTTCTAACTTATTTTTAATTTCAATTACCCTAAAATAATAACAACCACATTTTCAGCCTTACTACACTTCAGACTACGAAGCCGTTGCGAATATGTTGGCGCGATTGCAGCAACTTCAGGATAAGATTGCGGATATTGACGTGAAACAGAAGCGCGACTTCCGATTCTACGGGTCGCGGGGAAAGAAGTCAGTACGTGAGACACGGAGGTGAGTACTATTATCTGTTTATACTTTTTGAAAGGCTTATAGTGTCTTCTTAGTCGACTTAGCTTAAGCTAGAGCTAGAGCTAGAGCTAGAGCTAGAGCTAGAGTTAGAGCTAGAGCTAGAGCTAGAGCTAGAGCTAGAGCTGGAGCTAAAGATTGGGCTTGAACATTAGCTTAAACTAAGCCTTAGCTTAGCCTGAGAGTGGGTTCTAGCTTTAGCCTTAAGCCTAGGAATATCTGTTATAAATAATAATGCTATTAAACCCCTCATCTTCTAGTCATCTTTTTGAGTTAAACTTTAATTTAAAATTAATGTTGCAAAAGTAGTGTCTCATCCGAAAAGGCTCGACTTCCTGGTAGTAAGGATGAAGTAAAGGTTGTTTTTTGAGTACAAAATTAACTGAATTTTTATTAACTTTGGTGTAAAGATACTTTTATTTGCATTTAGGGTTGGTTTTTGAAGCTTGACAAATTTTAATCTGGGTACTTTGATCGTGCTAAGTTGTACGTCATTTTTTGAAAAGGAGAGCAGAAGGAGGGAGGGGGGGGAAGAAAAGAGGTTTGGGATGACAAATTCTAAAATACGTCTTTTTTGGTTATGAAGGAGCTTCTATGAACGTTTTAAGTACCATGGGGACCCTTTTAGTGTTTTTAGTACTATTAGTCTTATTTCAATTTAAAAATTTTTTTTTTAATTTGAAATTTTTAAAAAATGACAAAATTTTTTAGACCCAAAGTTTCAAATATTAATTTTTTTTGGTTTTCAGATTCAATTACATGCCGTCCCGAGGGTAGACCAAACTATCAAGCCAAAACGAATGATGTTCACCATCATCGCTTACAATCGCTGCTTCTCATCATTGTAAAGTTGTTAGTAAAGGTTTCTGTACTATTGTGTCATATTTAATCGAATAATAAATGTTTGTTGTAAATGATGGTTGGGTTTATTACTTTAGTTTTATATATTAGTTTAGCATGAGCATGAGCATGAGACTAAGCCTTAGAAGAAGACAGAAAGCACAACGTATTTTACCGTGGAACTACAATTTTAAAATGACGTACACTTATAAAAGAGAATTGTTTGTCCAAACAATTCCGACGTCAATTTAAAAAAACGTATGTTTATTACAGCAGCTAAAACATTTGACAATTTGAGAATGTTAGTTTAATGTTTGTGTACACTATGGCTATTACTAGAAATGTTTCATTGTACGATTTTAAGTACAAGTAGATAATTGTGATAATGTCATAAGTGTTATCACCGAGGCCTTCATAGTATAGACAGAAAGAATACATTCACTTTACATTTTCCTTTTTCTAGTTTGTCCTAATTCTGTTCTAGTCATATCTTAACCTTAGTTTTGCCCTTTTTTTGCCTTATCTTTGGCATATTATGGTCCTACCTTAAATTTAGCTTAGCCTGCTCTAGCAATGCCCTGGCCACTATAGTTTCTGAAGTTTAGTTACTTACACCTACAATATAATACTTCACAATACAAAAAATATAGCGAATACATTCATCTTTTGCAAAATCGTACTTGGTTAACAAGCTGCTATAAGAAAACTGCAAAAACATGTTCAAAACTTAAAAATTTAAAATTACAATTGACGTAGCTATAAATAGACACAAATTACAATATAGTTGGACCTAGCACGAGCGCACCCGCAACGACAACGAACAGCACTTGGCATTTCGCACCACGTACGTGGACAGCACGATAAAAGAAGAGGACGGTCAAGCAACAGGACAGTCGAATATTGGAGTCAGTAGTTGATCAGCAGGCGCAGGACAGTTGGGACGTCCGAAGGACGTCACATACTTTATATCTGTGATCTTTATCGTTATTGGTTTATATTATATATTGTTGAATGTATAGTGGAGGTAAATCTATTATATAGTATCTGAGGGCTGTTTGGAGAGTTATAGAGGTTATTACACATTGGTTTATATCTGTAGGGTCCTACCTTAGATCCGAATATATTTACATACATCTAGTCTAAAACATTTTATTATCTTCTGTAAAAAACATTTTTCCATTGTTACCTTGCTAAGCCTGCTACAATAAGTAGACTAGAATTGTTACACACCTTCTAATAATAAGCAGTGTAATCTTTTACTTTGCAAATTAATTTAAAAGTGTTAATTAGTTAAGGTCAAACAAGATTTGCAACGGATTTAAGTATCTTTTTTAAAGTAAAGACGTAGTAGATTAGACATTATAAGATATACCTAACTTGGTACGTAAGAGATGTATGAAGCATAGTGAACTAGTTTAGTGATTATAGATGTAGTATACATATTACTTTACAGGTAGGTAGTATATTACCTTTAAAAATGTAATTCAGTGTTACTTGGAAAAAAAGTTACTGTGGAATAAAAAACGCTTACTGAGCTAATATATATGAAGTATAAAAGTATAAAAAGTAAAGATTTTGATAATATGAGCCAACAGAGAAGCGTTTCATGACGTTGTATCTGTAATTGTACTCTTCAGAACATCCTGTGACGTTTTCATTTGAGGCAACTATAACCACACTTTAGGATGTGTAAGTATACGATATTGTATTATAGCTTTGATAATTATTAAAAACATCTTCTTACATACAATATACGTAGTATTACGTACGTCAATGTGATGCTATTGATCATAAGATAAGATCTTAATTTTATCTTTACTCATAGTGATCTTAGCGGTAGGTGTAGCCTTAGTCTAAGCTCGAGTCTGAGTTTGAGTTTGAGCTTGAACCTGAGCCTGAGTCAGAGCCAAAGCCGGAGCCGGAGCCTGAGTCTGAGCCTGAGCATATGCTTGAGCCTAAGCTTGCGCCTGTACTTGAGCTTGAACCTGAGCTTGAAACTGAGCCTGAGCCCGAGCCTAGACCAAGCCATAGCCCAGAGCTTTTTAAAACTCTACAGCCCCAGTCCAAAGCCGTAGCGCGTCCTACTGTACTATAGCTAGAGGTTGCTTTACCTTACTTTACATTACCTTCTAAAAATATCCTTTTCCCCCACCCCCTCTAAACTATAAAACAAAATAAACATTCGACTATAATATTAAACTAGTGCGTTGTACCCCTTGATTGACAGACCTTTCCTACGCACGTTTATGTACCCAAAAGGACAAAGTGCGAAGTCAAAAAGTTCATAAAACATTTATAAATGTTTAAAACATCATGAAGTGGCACATGAATAACAATGTTTAATATAAAATTGATGAATCAACAGGTGGTAAGATACGTATATAGTTGTTCAAAAAGTTATGAGCCAAAGTCGCTGAGTCGTGTGTTCAAAAAGTAATGAGCCAAAAGTTCTGAGCCGCGTGTTCAAAAAGTAACGAGCTAAAGTTGCTGAGCCGTCTGTTCAAAAAGTAATGCGCCAACATTTCTGTGTCGCTTGTTCAAAAAATAATGAGCCGAAAGTTCTGCGTTGTCTGTTCAAAAATTATTGAGCCAAAAGATTCTGAGCTGTAGCTCACTATTTTTTGAACAATTTTATACTTATGTATGGAGAGCTATAACAACTTTAAAAAAATTTTTTTTTAATTTTAAAAAAAACTTTAAAATGTAAAAAAATGCATAATACGATATCCGAAGTAGCAAGTAATAAGATAACTTACGTTTTGATAAAAGAAAGACCAATTAATAAGCCTGCTGATAGTGTAATATAATAAACCTTATCGAGTGACCTCTAAAGACCTTTGGAAAAAGAGAAAACTTTCGTCGAAGAGAAATCTTGATCATTCAAGGCTTTTTTAAATTGCCACCACGTGGTGTACAAACGGCTTTACATTTTGTAAAATACGTATTTGCTCGCAACTCAACGAGAGCTTAAATATTCTTTATTATCTGCTATCTCTCAACGAAACGAATAGAGATTCAAATATCAACTATGGTTGATATAAAAGGAAAACTGGCCAAATTGGACGAGGTTTTGCCTAACATTCTGCTTGATAAGGTAGGTTTTTCTTTTTTAATTTTTACTGTTTCCTACAGTAGAAGTAAGGGGTGAAGACTAACTTTTGTATGATGAATTGCTTGGGGATGTAAAAAGAGCAGTTTGTCATAAAAACGTTTCGTTAAGATTTTTGCCATACAGGAGGTTTACTGTACCTTTATTTGTCCTAGCTTTTCTCTTTTTTGTAACAGCCTATTTGTAAGTTTATCAAAGCCTTACCCCTTCTCTGCCTTACCCAAACCCACATCTTTGTTTTTCGGTTCCTTATACTGGTTAATATTTTACCTTGCTATAGCCTTTTCTTACTAGGGAATGTCACCAAATATCAGTAGTCTTACCTAAGTCCTACTCAAGTCGTACCAAGCCCTACTTTAACTGTATTACTCATACTTTATTGCAAGCATATTCTACCAACAAATTGATTTTATTTCTAGTCTTGTTTTGCCATTTTTACCCTTTTTTGTACTTGCCAAATTTTCATCTTATGGTAGTTTTGCCCTTTCTCTACCCTGGCTATACTGGAGCCGTATCTAAGCCTTACCTTCTTCTTTTGTCTTGTAGTTTCAATTTATTATACCTCTTATCGTCGTCTACCTTTACTCTTATTTTACCCACTAAAGGTTTTAGTATCATCATGCTAAGCTTTACCACATTTTTTCAAAACCACTTTACGATATGTCTTAGCTAGCTATAGTAACGGCCTGCTTAACAATAAGAGCTAAACGTGCGTTTATTTTACTGCGGGTCTAAAACGTTCATTTTACCTTGACAAACGTAACTATTATACCTCTATTTATTATACAATGCAATAACTTACATACTAAAAAAGCCTGTACTCCCGTCATAACACCCTCACCGTCGTACCGTAACAGCACGGTGCACAAAGACTGTTTTTGCAAACCGCAAATGCTCGCAATTAGACCAACATGACGTAGATTTCACTGTAGAGTAAGAATTAGGTTGAATTATGCATGGCAAGAACGGAAAGCGGTTGTTTATACGACCAGTCTTCCTTATTCAGGTGGGTTCCGAGAAGGCTTTCATCTGTTTGGGAATTAATTGCATTTGCACGAAGCTTCCAATACACAGAGATCGTCTTGTTGGGACGTACCTGCACGTACGTTTGGATTGTATTTACAAATGCTTGTATGCAATGAATGCTTAAAGTACATGATACAAAACTAGGTAAAGTATACTTACCCTACCCCACCCTACCCTACCCTACCCTACCCTACCCTACCCTACCCTACCCTACCCTGCCCTACCCTACCCTACCCTACCCTACCCTACCCTACCCTACCCTACCCTACCCTACCCTACCCTACCCTACCCTACCCTACCCTCCCCTACCCTACCCTACCCTACCCTACCCTACCCTACCCTACCCTACCCTACCCTACCCTACCCTACCCTACCCTACCCTACCCTATCCTACCCTACCCTACCCTACCCTACCCTCTTCCTTTGCCTTACCGTTACCCTACACTGCCTTACCCTACCTTATATTTCTTTACCCAAAAACATGTTGTCTTACTGTATGCCACCTTGCTCTAACCTACTCTAACCTACCTTATCTTACCTTACTTAAACTTACTCAATCTTATTATCTACCTTACCCTTTATTGTATAGAACCTATTTACACAATTTACAGTATCACAAGAAGTCAAACATTACTCCCACAGTTTTACAAAATCTATAGACAACAAACATTAAGACTTATCTAATATTTATGGTAAAACATGCGCATAGTATATTATAGTAACAGATCAAAGTCTTAATTTAGCAGTTTTTTGTATTTTGAAATTTTAAAACAAAAACCTTAAACATTGTGTTTTGAATTGATACATAATTTATAACGGCGCTTAAAATACATAAACATATATACGTATATAGATTATGTATAAATTTATATGAAAATCAATTGAAAATGCAAAAATATGCAAAGAATTTATAAAAAAATGTGTAGGCTGAAGAAATAAGTGACTTTTGTAAACATATTAGAATATAAATTGAAATGATAATACACAAAATGTAAATAACTCTAAGACAGAAAGATAAAAACAGGCTAGTATACAGGAAATTACAAGATGGCGGGTTCTTTATGTGGGCATCTAATATAAATATAAACCATACCCTGAAATCATGCTTTAACCTATCATACTGTAACTTTATTATTTCTCTACAATAGTTTTTACAGTAGCCATAATCTTACGTTAACTCTAGCCTAAATATAGTGCTTTCCCAGCCGTATAAAAGCCCTGCCTTAACCTAGTCCTATCTCAATTCTACTCCACCCCTATTTTAAACTTTAGTTCCTATGTTAGCCTTATTCTAGCACTGCCACGTTCATATCCTAATCCTACCTCAGCATTTGCAAGCTCTATCTTAGCCTTCTTTGTTCTACGCTAACCTTATCTTAACCAAAGAACTACTTTAATTCTACTCTTTCATAAATATAGCCGGACCTTAGCTTAGCATTGGCGGTATTCAATTGCTGTTTTAGCTCTACCCTAGCCCTTTTCTAGCAATGCCGTAGCCATACACTAGCCTTGTTATAGCCCTACCTTTACTTAGCACTACTTATACCTGGCCCTACACTAGCCTTACCTTGGTTCTACTATAGCCTTGCTATAGACCCATCTAATTGTTACTTTAGCCACATCTATCCTTTGGTTTTTACGGCAATATGGCTTAAAACAAAACTTACCTTACTTTAACCTACCCTTTTTCAAAAAGCCTAATATTTACTATAATTTCACAGAAATCCAGACCTATCACATTAGTTTAACATTACTGTTCCAGAACGATCAGCACGTATTCCGCCAGTACTACGAACAATTTTTGAGTGTCAACTCTTTAGTTGACTGGGACCAACTTACTCTTTTTGACAAAGAAAAATATCAAGTTGAGTATGACAATCTACCAGAGTTTGACATAAATCCAGCTCAAGAGATTCTGAAGCGTGTAGCTGTTATCAAATTGAATGGTGGCTTAGGAACCACCATGGGATGTTCTGGACCAAAATCCTTGATCAAAATCAGAGATGGCTTGACGTTTTTGGAATTTGCTATTCGACAAAATGAGGTAATTTCAATTTTTTTAAATTTTTTTATTTTTTATTTGATTTAGGAATCGATAAATTTTGTGACATTTCGTCATTTTCCAATAAAAAATGTGGCATTTCATTCTACAAAAAAAATATAAAAATGTAAAATACGCATTATATTAATATAAAATTTTATTTTTTGTTAAATTTTACAATTTTTGCACATCTTTTCAAAATTCAATAATTTTTGTGGCATTTCGTCAGCCATCTAAAAGCAGTCTATAATCGGTACTCGCAATAAAAAAATTTTTAGATCTTAAACAAGCATTATAACAGCACGGTACCTCTGATTTTGATGAATTCATATAGAACAGAAGCAGAAACAAAAGTCTGGCTACAAGAACACAAGTTCGAAGACAAGGTGAAGATGTTCAATCAATCCAGGTGCCCCAGAATTTACGCTGACACTTTATTGCCCGTTCCTAATTCTCCTGGTGACAAAGAGGATGAAGGGTGTGTTTATTTATCTTTTTTAGCAAATTTTTTAATGTTTAACGAAATGTCAAAAAATTATTGGAAAATTAGATGAAATGTCACAAATTTATTGATTTTTAAGTTGTGCCAAAAATGTCATTTTCAATGCATTAGAGTAATATTTTTTAATTTTTTTCGTTTTTGCAAAAAATATTTAAATTTGACGAAATTTCACAAAATTTATCGGTTTTTCTATTCTTTGACAAGTTTTTAAAACATAGTTTTAGATGGTATCCCCCCAGGTCATGGCAACGTATTTGCCGCTCTTAACAATACTGGATTGTCAGATCAACTCCTATCAGAAGGTCGTGATATTATCTTTGTTTCTAATATTGACAACACGGCAGCTACTGTAGATGTAAAAATAGCTTCAGTAATTGCAAGAGACGATGTTGAGTATGTTATGGAGAATACCAACAAAACTCAACAAGACATCAAAGGTGGTACTTTGATTCAATACGAAGGTACAATCAAGCACTTGGAGCTTCCTCACGTTCCTCATCACAAGGTTGATGAATTTTGTTCTTTGAACACGTTTAAGTAAGTGTAAAGGGGTCGTTTTGGTGAAAACTAGAAGCTTAGGCTTTTTGATACATTTCTAAAGATCATGCAAAGCATAATTTGATAAAGAAAGTACAGTAAAATAACATTTTAGGACGTTCAACACCAATAACATATGGGTCGATCTGAAAGCTGTCAAACGAATGTTGGAAACCATGAGACTTGAAGTCTTACCTAACAAAAAGGTATGTTTTTATAGCCGTTCCTTGCCTTGCCTTGCCTTGCCTTGCCTTGCCTTGCCTTGCCTTGCCTTGCCTTGCCTTGCCTTGCCTTGCCTTGCCTTGCCTTGCCTTGCCTTGGCTTGCCTTGCCTTGCCTTGCCTTGCCTTGCCTTGCCTTGCCTTGCCTTGCCTTGCCTTGCCTTATCCTATCTTACCGTACTCTATACCTTACCCTGCTTTACCAAAACTTCCCGTAAAAAACCTTGTTCTACCCTACTCAAGCCTTGTTTTACCCTACCCTAACTTTCCTTTACCATATTCGACTTTATCCTTTTTCAAAACATTTAAACTTCAGAAGCTCTCAACCGGCGAAGCTGTAATTCAGCTAGAAAGTGCGATCGGCGGAGCCATTCGCAACTTCGAGTTAGCCAAAGTCGTTCACGTCCCACGTCGTCGTTTTCTACCAGTCAAGAAAACTCAAGACTTGTTGGTAATCATGTCAAACGCTTTCATCGTCGACAAGACTGGAGTACTGGTACTGAATCCAAAGAGGACTATCAAAACAGCACCTGTTGTTCACTTGAGTACCAATTATGATGCGATTTCAACATTCTTTGACCATTTTGATGCCATCCCTGATTTGTTCGAATGTGAAAGTTTGAAAGTTGATGGAGATGTTAGATTTGGCAAGAAGATTGTGGTTAAGGGCAATGTTAAGGTCTTTGCCAAAGGAAAGGCCAAGATAGAAGATGACACAGTATTGGAAGGAGATATTGAACTTTAACTTAATTTTATTGATGGTTAATAAATAAAGTTTGCGTTTTTATGTTTCTGACAGTTTAAAACAAGTTTTTAAAAAACTCATTTTCAATATTTTTCGCAGTTTGCGCAACCATTTTATACGAAAGCTGTCGATTTCAAAAAAACCATGCAAAAGACAAAAATCTTCAGATTTTCCACTCCTTTTTACCATTCATTGTCATGATACGACCATGTTATGTTCGTAAAATTTTGTTCATTGAATGGTTTCGATTTTACACTCTGCTGTCTCTTCGTCTTGCCCACTCTCTCCTCGCTTCGTGGAGCGAGAAAAATAGTTGGAATCGAAAGTCCGGTTTCCACTATAATTTCGTCTTTAATTCAAACACAAATTGAGGTTTTATGCGTATTTTATGGCTGGAATACCATGAATAATATTTGAATTTTAAAATTGGTTTAACTTCGTTGCTAAAGATGTTTTAAATTGTGATTGTTGAGCTGTTAGATCGATTTGTATTAGTGTTTTTAATTTTTTTGATTGTTTATCGTGTTGTTTTTTAATGAATCTATGTTTAGATGAAAGATTAGAATCTTCTCCATCTATTTTTATGAATTTCAATCTGAGTTTTATACACATTCTTTGTTAAAAACTAAACTTTGGTTGTCGTACTACCTAAAAACGGACTTTTCTCAATGTTACACTTGTTTTTCGCTGTCTAGCTAATGTTTTTTTTCTCAACTTCTTTCTTTTACTTTTTTTAAACTGTTCTTTTTATTGATAACATATTTTTCTAACAGTTCATCACAAAGACCGCGTGTTTATTTTCAATTTTGGGCTTTAAACTTGATATAGACGCTAAAATAAGGTTTCATAATATTAATTTCAGGGTTTTTATAGCCAAATACTGGTAGCTTGTTCTTTCTAGTCTTCATAGCTCTGTGTACAATCATGTCGGACGAGAAAAAAGTTAACAAGTTGAGGAATAAGGTCCAACGATACATTTCATTGATTGAAACTTCAGATCAGGTATGTTGTTATTGCTTAGTTTGGTTTTAGGGATAAATGGAAGGGAATTTGACTTTAAATGCATGATTGTGTTGTATAGATACAATATAAGTTCTCAAACACGAAATTTTTAATTTTAAAGAAAAACATTAAAGCAAACTTACTATAACATCTATTTTCAGTCCCAAATCGAGCACGCTATCGACAGATTGGAGAAATTGGACATGACGGTCGATTGTCTTCAAACTACAGGCGTTGGGCGTGTACTGAATCAGCTGCGGGAGAACCCCGAATTCGGGGAAAGAGCAGGTATTCTAGTAGACAGATGGCGGGCGATGGCGTCGGAAGCGGCCCGTTTACTCAGACGGCTCAGCCCGAGTGTTCTGGAATCGGAAGAGAAGAAAAAGAAGGAGAAGAAGGCCAAAAGAGCAATAGATCCGTTCGAAGCTCAATTAATGGCTGCTGATCTGGATATTGAGGTAGGTTGGGTTTGTTGTCTTTGATTTTTTTGGTCGGTTCTAGTCGATTTTTGAAATTTATTTTTTATGTGATTGTTTTAGCCAAAGAAGAAGCCAAAATTGTCTCAAAAGTCGTCCAAAATTTCGGCTCCAGACGCTGATGATATTGTGAATGCTGTCGTTCACACAACAGAAGTGTATAAACAAGCTCCATCTTTGGCTATTAGGCCTGGAACGAGCAGAGCTGAGGTTGAGGCGGCTCTGGATGAGCCTTTGAGTAAGATTTTCAACTTGTATTTCGATGTTTAGGTAACACTTTGGAGAAAAGTGACGAGAACTTGTCAAAACTTATAAAATATGGACTTCATTTTGAATTTTCGATATTATTCTGTATAAAAAGCTTTGATGAATTGATATTTTTTGAAATTTAGGTAACAAAAACACTAAAAAATCTATTTTCAGCCGATTCCATGTTCGATCCGTCCGTCTTCAAGCGAAAAGTCCGTGCCAAAGTCTATGCAGGACGTCGAAAAGTTGTTTATAACACCACTGTTCCAACATTGGTGGCAGCATGTCAAAGCTATTTGGTTGACAACTTGGATGTGATCGAGGAATTGGGCGATGTGCCTTATAGACTACTGAAACCAGTATTAGAGAAATGTTCTACCGACCAGTTGGATCGAATCTCGGCTAGAAACCCTCAATTATGGGACGATTTGGACGAGTTGTGGGAAGGAATCGTGCAAAAAGTGTTCAGAAATGACGCCAAGAGGGGGAAGAAGGAGAGTTGGTATGAGTGTTACAAGGTGAGAAGGTTATGAAGGGTTTAGGAAGGTCAAAATTATAAGCTTATATTGTTATTATAGGTTTTATGTGCTTTACAAAGGTTGATTTTTATCAATTTTGAGGATTCTAATTTTAATTTCAGAGACTAAACCGAGAACGTGAAGACCGTCTCCATCGAATCTCCGCCGGCATTAGACAAAAGCACAATAATCAAGCTCAAAAGTCCGAGATGAGGACCACCTTAGTCGATGTTATCAATCCTGCATTCGCCAGGAAACGTCAAATCAGATCAGGAATAGCACCAGCCAATGCTGTAGGCATCCCAGATGCCCTCCAAGTATCAAAAGCAAGAAGGCAGGTGTTTTCCGGAAACAAAGGTGCAGTAAATGCTCTACCATCAGCTGTGAAAGGCTCAAGAGCTGCGGTTTCTTCGTCATCAGGCAGTCGAACTCAGAAAACCCAGCCCCGCGGGGCTTTAATGCAGAAAACGTTGAAAATGCTGAAGGGGAGGAGATGATTGGAAGAGAGTAGTGAAGATTGTGAGAAAGAAGATGAACATTGTTAAGAGAAAGGAGATGAGTATGATTGTAAGACAGGATATGAAGTTTGAAAGTCTTAAAGAAGAGAAAAGTATAGGAAATGAGAGGATGAATATTGTAATTTACAGTATTTCAAAGCGTTTTTGTAGTATTTTCGACCGATTTTGGGTATTATATCATAGACTTTTTAAGGTTTTTTGTTAGGATAAGACGCCAATTTATCATAACTATTGTGTCTGGTCAAAAAATACGTGGATTGTTAACAATTTTAGTTTTTAAAACAGAAAATTTGATTTTTAGGCTTAAAATGGGTAGAAATGATAATTTTATAGCGAAAATGGCCATTTTTAGCGGAATAATTTTGAAAAATCGATGATTTTACCAACTTTTTTGACTCAACTACTGCGGTATAAAAAAGAATGTCATAGTAACGCGTGTGCTTTTTATATGTGATTTTTATCATAGATAACAAGGGTTTTTTTTATTTTTTTTATCAAAAAAAAAGTTTTTTTTTAATTTAGAAAATTTACAAAAAATGTTATTAGTAATAATTTAAATTTAAAAACATTAAATGTTCAAAAAAGTGTATGTTATATTAGGTTTGTTAAAGTCTTTAACTTACGCTGAATAAATTAATATTTTTTTCTGATTTAGAAATGGCAATATGGTAAAAAAAAGTTTAAAAAATGAAATTTTGCTTATTTTTATGTTTTATAGCTATAGACAGATATAAAAAAAATTAATTTAGTACTGGTTCTTGGTTTGCTGTACCATATATAGTACGAGCTTAAGCCCCGCCGCCACGACAAGGCGACCAGTTTCGGCGAGGAAAAGTTTCTTTTCTTTTTTTTTGTTTTTTTATTAAAAAATAGTATAAAAAGGATTTTTTTGGTTTTTTACTTTTTTTGTTATAAAAATTCATAAAAAAATTGTTTTTTGGTTTTTTTTTGTTATAAAAGTTAAGGTTAAAAAGGTTTTTTGGTTAAAAAATACGGAAAAGTAAAAACATAAACTACAGTATAATATTAAAACTTATCAACTTACCTCTAGTGGTAGTAGTAGCATCCTCCGACTTCCGTTGGAACCGTTGTTTGTGGCATCTGGTACACCGGTTGAACTGGCACGTAATACACTGGCTGGACGGGTACGTAACAGTACTGGATTGGCGCCTGGTACTGAACTGGGGCTTGGTACTGGACCGGAACGTGGTACTGTAACGGGACCTCGTACTGTACTGGAACCTGGTACTGAACCGGGACCTCGTACTGAACCGGCACCTCGTACTGTACTGGAACCTGGTACTCTCCTTGATCCTGAAAATATAAGTCATATCCTTGGCCTACTTGGTACTGGTGCTGTTCTGCTGGCTCGTACTGGTGTTCTTTTGGCTGATCTTGCTCTTCCATCTGGTTCCATTGGTACTCGTCTTCATCGGATGTGCTGCTCCACGTCTCGCTGTTCTCGTCGTTCCAAGCCCAAACTGGGTCTGAAAGGATGCTGACCGAGGTCGGCTCCCTCAGTTTGGCTTCAGTGCTGATCCATACTTGGCTCAGCTTCAAGTCATCGACCACAAGGGTGATGAGGTTCTTCTTTTCGGCGGTGAATGCCATTTTTGATGTTGTTTTGATTGCTGAAAAGTACTTTTTTAGAAGCGTATATATATAATAGTGAGCACGGTAAGGTACGATTTTTTTGTGTTTCTATTCAATTGCAATATATATCACGGCAAAATACGAAGTAATTTTAAAAAAATTTAGGTAAAATACGATTTATTTTTAAAATATTAAGGTAAAATACGCAGTAGTTTTTAAAAAACCAAGGCAAAATACGAATGAAATCTAATTTTTTAAAATATTTATAAGAAAAAGTAGAGCACACGACCTCCGAATACAACCAAGTGTATGATATGTTATATTATAGGCAGACTCCCTCCTTATATAGTGTCCCATATCTTCCGCAGGAAATAATTTACAGCAGAGTAGCTACTGATGTAACTTTGATCTATATGTTGATTAGATTTTTTATACGATTTTATTGCACCCTACGGCATTAAAGTCGTGCAAAGATGGCCAATTTATTGCGCAGTTGAACTCGCTTGCGATCGTAAAAGGTCACGTGCTTAGCCACAAGAGCATGAACTTTGAACTTGGAGCACTTTTGGGTCAAGGTGTAGTTTTTCATTTTGTATGTTAGTCCTTTTTTACAGCTATATTGTAGTTAAAGCATGGTTTTACTTTTTCAAAGTTATCTCTGTTCTAGCTTTATCTTAGATATTCCGTATTCTTGCTTTTTCTTAGTCTTAACCTGGCCTTATTCTAGTCATACTTTAGCTTTTTCTTAGCCTTAGCATTGTTGAAATCTTATCTAGAATTAGCATAATTCTAGTCTATTCTAGTTAGATTCTAGCTTTAGGTTAGCCTTACGCTAGATTTTACTCTAGCTTTTAGTCTAGCCTTATCCAGTTTCACCTTAGCTTTAACGTAGCTTTATCCTAACTCTTACTGTTTCCCTGTACTAGTCTTAACACTGCAGAAACCTTACCTAACTTTAGCCATGTTATAGTCTACTCTAGCTCTGCTTTAGCTCTAACTTAGCCTTCTTTTAGCTCTTACGCTAGCTTTATCTTAGACTTACTGTAGTCAGGGCCGGGCGGGGACTTTTGGTCTGGGGACGGGGGTCGAAAAATCCACAGGGGGGACCACGTTCAACTTTTTTTTGAAATTTTTTTTTCTGCGGGGGGGGGGAAACAGCGTCCGGCCCTGACTGTAGCCCTACTTTTACTACTGTTATTCATATTCTGGAGCTAAATATTTTTATCTAAGGTTTTTTTTAAACTTTTTTTCAAATTTATGCAAATTTTGTAAATTTCAATACGAAATTCATTCTTTCAAAATGAACTTTTTCGATTCGAGAAATTCAATTTTCATTTCACTCAAACTTTGAATTGGTCAACTGTCAGTGTGGTTGTTTATCAGATCGAATGGGCTTTCACAAGATTCTGGTCGTCGTGCTGTTTGTAGCCGGTCTTCAATTGTCCGAAGGCCTTCGATATACGTATCATGGCGAATATGATGATCCATTTGTGTTGATGGATGATCATTATAGTTATGCTGGCCTCATTACTTATCCCGGATTCGACGATCAGTTCTCGCCTGGAGCTCAAGTCAACTATCAAGGAGAGCGCAAGATTGTAAGGGTTTGTGTTATGATTAGGTGGGTAAGGTAAGGCTGGTTGGGTAGAGGAGAAGAGGGTAGAGTGGAGTAGGGTGTTGTAAGATACGGTAGGGTAGAGTGAGGTAGGGTAGTGTAAGATAGGGTAGGGTGGAGTGATGGATTAAAGCTTGGCAAAGCAGGATAAGGTAGGGTAGGGTAACTACAAGGAGAGCACAAGATTTTAAGGGTTTGTGTTATGATTAGGTGAGTAAGGTAAGGCTGGTTGGGTAGAGAAGAAGAGGGTAGGGTAGAGTGGAGTAGGGTAGGGTAGGGCAAGGTTTGGTATTGTAGTGTAGGATATGGTAAGACAGTGTAAGGTAAGATAAGGTATGGTATCTTTATTAGCATATATCTTAAGGTTACTGTACTCTTATTTAGATAGTCAAAATGTGGTTTCAACGCCTTTGGCTTTGGAGAGAAAGTCACTGTGCTCCACGACTGGCGGATGTCAATGGGTTCTTCAGATACATGTGCTATGAGTAAGATTTTATAAAGAAAAACTTGGTTTTCTTGCTTTTTTAACTTTTTTTCAATATGATAGATCGTATTTTACTAAATTTTTTTTTCAAACTTTTTTTAAAATTTTTATTAAATTTTTATTTTCAGCGAAGCTTGGGGTTGGCCTGACCTGGAAATGTAAGTCGATTTTTTAAAAAATATTTTTAAATTTTAAAAATTTTTAATTTTTTTAAAGTTTAAATTAAAACTGAATTTTTAGTATCCACTACTTCGATGGAGTCTGCCGTTCTAAAATCTTTGACTTGGAGCGCGCGCATTATGATCATGATCTCTACATTAACATTGGTCCTGACGACGAGACGGTAGACGATGAACAATGCTCCAACTTGATCTATTAATGCGATTGCTATTAAATTATTTTATTAGTTGATTTTGGATTTATTTTAGCTTTTAGAATTGAGGTTTTTGGTTAGCGCAGCTTGAGTAAGACTATGGTAGAGTATGGAACGGTTGATCAAAACAACGCAGAGTAGCGACAGATAGAGTAAGGTAGAATAGGGTAAAGCAACGTATGATAGGGCAGGCTAGGGTAACGTATGGTATCGCAAGATATGGTAGACTAACGGAACGTATGATAAAGCAGGATAGGGAAATGTACGATATGCTAACGTATTGTACTACAAGATAGTAAAGCAGTATATGGTAAGGAATTATATAATGGGGCAGGGTATGGTAGGGTAGGTAGGGTAGATTTCAATGTAAAAACAGTTCATACTGCAGAGATCCACTGGTCACTTCCCTTCCTATTTTGATTACAACCCAATTACAATAAACATATGATTCATTGTGTAACACGAGTAGTATGTATTCGTTTCTCTATTTTCTTGTCGTGTCTTTTTCGAGACGGTCGAAAGCGCCTAAGGGTGTGAAAAAAACGAAAAGGGATCGAACGGAATTAATTTTCGGGTTTTGAGGTCAGCACGACTTTTCAGCTGATAGTAAGGGCTTTTCGAATGTTATCACGGGAGCTGATAGGGAAAGGATGATGTGTTTTTTTAGATTATATTGGGAATGGCAGGTTTATTGGACTGGGAAAGGGTCAGTTTGAAAAAGTTTTTAGATTTCAAAAAAAAATTAAAAAATGATTGGTAAAGCTGCTTTACTGATGGCTACCTCTTTTTTAAGGCAGGGCAGGGCACGAGAAAGAAAAATACAGAAAAATAAAAGGTTTTTGTTCACGTACAAGCTTTTTAAAATTTAAAAATTTTTAAAAAATTTAAATTTGAATCACCCCCAAGAAGCTAAACGCCCCAAAGTGACCGCAACACAAACCTCTTCGCACTTAACGGATTACTCTTAAAAATTTCTCGAGATTTATGGAAAAAATTGCGTGGGAACATAAAAACCATTGGAAAAGGGTTTTATAGCCAGAAGGCAAGAGTTTGCAATTGATGGGTTTTCGAGATCAAGAACAAAAGGTTTCAAAGGCGTGATCTCGACAAGAAAAAGGAACGTTTTACTCTATCTCTGATTGTTTATACTAAACTGTTTTGTTATTTTAATTTAGATAAAAGTGTTGTTTTTGAATACTCTAAATTCTTGTATAACGTCTCTCGCTATAATTTTAAATTTTTTTGTTAAAAGGCGTTTTGTTTGTTATATTAAAGTTCTACTGTATTCATTAATACAATTAAGATGGTACAGTGTTCTCTCTATATAGCGAACCATCTTTGTAAGCAACTCTCCTTATAGTAAACAAGAAATTTGGCCCCGCCAAGTCAATTTGCACTAAAAAACCTATCTGTAAAGAAAACACCCCTTATAGTAAACACAAAATGCCGGTCTCTTTGGGTTGCTTATATAGAGAGAGTACTGTATATTAACCCATTCATTTTGCTTTTAAAATTTACATTGTTGTGCATAGCATTAGCTTGTACGTATTATCATACCTATTATAAGTAGTGTGCTTGCACTTTTAAGTATGTAAGTAAAATAAGATAATTAGTAAGCTAAATTTGTCTTTTTATTTATAATACAAAGCTTTTAACACTAGGGCAAGGCACGAACTACCTTCCACACCTGCAGGGCATACCTGGCGTCTTGTAATGCGCTGTACTGGACACGGCATAGCAGAACATAAGAAAGGGTACAGAAAATTGTCAATGCCTTGGCTTGTATAACAGGTATGGAAATGATAAAAACATTTTTTGTAGGTCTATCGACTTTGCCTTTTTGCCTCTATTTGAAAGTACGGTAGAACTTCTGTAAATGAACTTTGTAGTTATGACCGGCAGGGGCGGGCGGGACATTTGACCTGGGGTCGAAAAATTTTTTTTTTAATTTACAGGGAGGATGACCAAGTTCAACTTTTTTCGAAAGTTTTTTCTGAGGGGAGGGGGTTTCTCCTCCCTCCGTCCACAATTGTCTGTCAGGTGAATTTGTTATACAAAGATTTTACTGTAATCTTTTATTACCGTTTTGCTCTACAAAAACTACTTTACATTACAATGTATTTTACACTTCCCAAAACCCATGCCGTGGATGAGTCATCCCGCGGCCGTACATTCATTTTTTCACTCCCAAAACTCACTTTTTTCAATTTTGCGAGCGCTAAAAGGGTTTAGCCAGAGAATGGTCATTCCTCGTTTCGCGAGCTATTCTATGGACTTTTATGCCTTTTCCATGATTAATACCCTGCCTTCGTGTTGGACATTCACGTTTTTGGGCAGATGGGGTGAGTAAGGTTGTTTTGGGGGTGATTAATCAAATTATAACATTATACGGTGTTTTTGGGTTGATAAGAAGGTTTGGGGAAAGGGGAAGAGTAGGTATTTTGTAATACAAAGTGCGCCAAAAGTTCTGTTACAAAACTTTACCGGTCGTTTTCTCTATGTCGCGGTTAAATTATTTAAAATTTTTTATTTTAGCTTGTTTTTTCGTGTTTTTTTATTGTATAATCAAAATTTGATTAAAATATTTAATTAAACAGAACTTTTGGCGCACCCTGCAAAGTTTGAGGAGGGGGGGGTGGAAAATTGTAATTTTTAAAATTAAGGTAGAAGTAGGTAGAATTACAGATTTTAAACAAACTCTTAATTTTATAAACATACAGCTATTAAAAAATTCTTTGATCTTCACCCCGTACCCAATGTCAGTTGGAGATGATTAATATAGCCCGTATGCAAATGCCTGTCGATTCAATTGCGGAACTGGTCTTTCGAATCTGTTTGCTAGGCTTTAAACTCATCCCAATTCATCTGTCAATGTTTTTATTTTATTATTTTTTAAGCGCTGGGGTTACTAGTTAAGTCTCTGAACTAGTAAAGACTGAGTTAAAGTTAGGACTGGGTTAAAGGTAGTACAAGGCTGCAGGTAGGACTTATCTGAAAATAGAGCTAAGCTGAAACTAAGGTTATGCTAAAGCTAGAACTAGACTGAACTTAGAACTAGACTAAAGCTAAGTCTATGTAAAAACTATACTAAAGTTAGGGCTAAGGCTCTAAGGCTAGGGCTCTGGGGCTAGGGCTCTGGGCTTGGGGACTGAGCTGAGGCTTTGGGCTAAGAATTTGGGTTAAGACTCTGAGCTAAAGCTCTGGGGATAAAGCTTTGTGGTTAAAGCTCTGGGCTAGGACTTTGGGCTAGGGCTGTGAGGCTAGGACTCTGGAGCTAGGGCTTTGGGTTAGAGCTAGGGCTTGTTAATAAAATGATTTTTAAAATAATTTTAAAAATTTGAAAAATCTAATCACAAAACTCACTACACTCTGGCGGCATGATTCCGGTCGTTTTTCGAAAATCCGTCGCAGATGTCTTCAAGGTCGGAAAAACGGAATAATTCGCAAAATTAAATTCCCATTTGGAGTCCGTTTTTACTTTTGTTTCAAGTTTTTATCACTTCCAACTGTGCGGTATCTCTTTGTTATCTTGATACGTACTTCTTGTGACATTACTCTTGACATATATTTAGTTTATCTTGTTATAAAGGGCTTTTTACTCAGAGTGCTATAAACGTCAGAATTAAGTAGTTTGTTTTACCCTGCCCAAGGATAATTAGGTAACACTTTTTACCCCGCCTTATAAGGGCTAGTATAGACCAAGTTTTCTTTACCTTATGGTTTTTTTCAGTAGCCATTTTTTCAAAATTTCGAAACTTTGTGGAACAATGACTTATCGATATCCGGTCGATTCCCTTATGCCCACAAGATCAGTTGGTGTTTAAACTAAACAGCTGAGAACAAGTTGGAGAGTCGGCTGTGTAATATTTTACAAGTGGTCAGAGGGGCTTTTGATTGTCTGGAATAACAATGTATTCCAAAATTTGACAAAGTTTTAAAAATTTTATTAGGTTATGGATTAAAACGTTATAGGGCATGGTAGAGATATTTGGAAAATTTGAGAATGATAGGGTAGGTTTAGGATAGATTAAAGTAGAATACAAGAATGTCATTGCTAATGTTGGCTAGAGTCGAATTATGAATAGGGTAGAGTTAGGACAAAGTTATGAGTAAAATAGGACTAAAGTGAGTTATGGCAGAATAAGCATATAGTTGAGCTAAGGTAGGTTAAAACAGTGTACGAGTAGGGTAAGACTGAAATAAATTAAAATAGAGACGAATAGAGTAGGGTTAGTCATAGATGTATCAACAGGATAAGACAGAGTATCAATAGGGCAAGCTAAGGTAAAGAACCAATTAGGTAGGGCTAAGGCAGGTAGAAGTAGAATAGGAATAGAGTAGGGCTAGGGTAGGTTAGGAAAGGATACGAATAGGGTAAAGCTAAGGTAGTTTAGGACAGTATACGAATAGAGTAGGGTTAGGTTAGGCGTAGCATACACTTTTGTAAACTACTTTGTGTTACTCTGCACATACCCTGTAAAGTTACCCTGGGTCCTCTTTTACTTTCAATGCTTTTAATGTGTTTTGCTTTATCATATTTTACCATACTTTACCTTACTATAGCCCACGTTACTCTACTTTACCTTACCTTGCTGTACCTTAGCCTTCTCAGGTTTTTCATTTTCTACTTTTTTATAAATACTGTTTTTAATCTAATATTTGCTTTTGTATTGCATACTATATCTTTTCAAAAATACATCCAGAGAGTAGGATAGAAATTTAGGCAGGGAAGAGTAAATATCAAAACCAAATTATATACTCGTCTGACACAGTAACATAAATTATATTTATGCAGGTCAAATTAGCCGGCCTAATAAATATTTTCCAACCCAAACCCAGGTCAAATTAATTGGCCCCGCCAATATTTGATTGTTTTGGCCGAAAGGTTTTTCCTGTGGCCATAAATCGAGAGAAGGGGACAATTGGTTGGAGATGCCCAGACTGCACGTGTGATCGGTCTTCGGGTCTTGTCACTGCCAGGGAGCCGGGGCCTCGCGTTATATGCC